GACAGACGGGAAATAAAAGACTCCCAGCAAAGCCTGACATCCGAACGGCCGCAGGTCACATGCAGTGTTCTGGTTTTCGGGTCTGAGTGCTCTATGCCTTTCCGAGTCCTGTTTGTCTTCAGTCTGTGGGAGCGCCAAGAAGGAACCCCGAAGACACAAGCCCTGGTGAAAGGACCCTTCACCCACACAGCGCCTGTACCCATGCTGAGACCACACCCTGCCAGAGCAGACTGGCCATGGCTCCTGCTGCACATGAAGGTGCAGAGCATTCTCCCTCTATCGTCACGGCGGTTCTTCCGGAACACGCTCACCTGTGTAACTTCTTCACACAGCTTCTTCTATGCTCCCCTGAGAAAATGCACTTCTAAGAGCTCCCCTCACAGTGCACTGTAACCATATGCACGAGGCATTAGACAAGCTGAGCAAGAGGTACCGGGTGACGGCCTTGGGAGCTTATACTGTAGCCATCTACTTGGGCTGAAGGCCTCGCATCCCCTGTCCCCGCCGCATTTCAGTTCCACGCCTCCAGCGCTCACCTGACAGTCAGAAACCACTGCTCAGCTGTGTTCTTTCCCAGCGGGACTCACCATCCCCTCAGACGTCAAACATTTAAATATACATGGACAATAGATAAGGGATGAAGACTTAAATAAGACTGAGCAGAAAAAGTAGAAATACCGAGTGTGAAGGGACCATGCAGTGGACGCAGGATATGTTGACAGAAGCTCCCCTTAATGCTGGGAGGAAGGACAAAGGGGTAATTTCCTGCATCAAATTGAACTCAGACATCTGAAAGCAGGCAAAGGCAGACTTGTCTAGAAAATAGAGCACATGGAATATCATCCCAGGAGCATTTCCATCCCTCTGCAGTGAACTCAGGGCTGTCAGAATCCCTTACTGAGAACCTGAGTTACCAGGTAATCATCAACCAGTATGTAAGACTATTTTAGCCCTAAAACAAGAAAAAAAAGTCACTCAGTCGTGTCTGACTCTTTGCGACCCCATGGACTATATAGTCCATGGAATTCTTCAGGCCAGGGTACTGAAGTGGGTAGCCTTTCCCTTCCCCAGGGGATCTTCCCAACCCAGGGACTGAACCCAGGTCTCCCACACTGCAGGCAGATTCTTTACCAGCTGAGCCACATGGGAAGCCCAAAACAAGAAAAAAGGATTTCCTCATAGGCAGAGCCAGGAATGATCTCTCACAAGTCCTTGTCAAAGCCCACGTCTACAGACAACTGCCCCTTGCCCATCTTTACAATCTTGGGTCTCCATCTCTAGGCTGTGAGGTGGGGCAACCCCCCAGGCCTCCCTCTGGATATTGGAGGGCTCCTGTCCAAACAGACACCCTGTGACTCATTTATTGTTACGTTCCCTGCTCCCCAGTACATCATCTGAAAGGAATCACTCATCAAAATGACCACCATGTGACTGGTTGTTCCCCAGGGATGTGCTCTACATTAACAAACTGGCCAGGGCATCGCCGGGACCCCCAGATCCAGGAGATAAGCCTCCCTGTCCAGTCACATTTATCATCTTATTTCCCAGGGAGATCCCATCAAGAGTACTCAAATAGCCTTCCCAGAGCACTGGGCTATTTCTTGCCCATGTTCTATTTCTCATTTTTTAAATAACGAGTAAAGCAGAAATCTGGAATGATTGCCCTGGGTAATTGAGATTGTAAATGGTTGTAGCTGAGGACAACTGATCTGCCACTGTTGATCTGAGGTTGGGACAGCAGGGTGAAGGGACCCAGCTACCTTTCCCCACAGCCTAAACACAGTCAAACAGTAGAAGCCAAAACTATGGGTCAGGGGTTCTTAACCTGGCATTTATGGATGGAATTCTTTGCGGCTCTAAACTTGGTGGGAAAACCTCTCTTTTTTCACTAACCTCCTACTGAAATTGAGCATTTCCTTTAAGCATGAGCACAGGTGACAATCCATGTTAGCACTGACAGTACCTATGACTTTGTCAACAAGTCAGATGCGTTCTTTGCACATTTCAGTTGCCACAGATCTTCTATTTATGCTCATTATGCTTCAAAATGACAATATGTGACCCACAACTAGATCCAGCTTTGTAACACGTCATTAAAGCAGAAATATGAAATCAGACGTCTTTGAAAAACATTGTAACCTATTTCCCTGTAATCATATCTCCTTGATGTATTAGAAAACTTGTTTCTGAGGAGGGGTTCACATGTTCACCATGCTGCCTAAGGAATCCACGGTACCGGGAAGGTTAAGGACCCCTGATGTGAGCCTTGCAACAGCAAATTCAGAACACCGGAACCTAAATTCAGATTGTTACTGGACACAAGACCCCTAGGCATATTTCAAATTTTGACTGCTGGCCTACTCAGTGATATTCACAATTCACAAAGCTCACAAAGCTATTTTTAAGACTGAGCAAGAGAATGTAAAGGCAAGTTATGTACTGACCCAAAGCACAGCACCGTAAAAGATGGTGCGGTAGAAGACATTCAGCAATGGGGCGATGTAGGAGGTGAAGTGTTATCTCAAAGCCACGCAGCAGCTTGAATCCAATAATGCTGCGCACCTGGCCTCAAGAACAGCGCTACTCACAGTGCTAGTCCAAGACTGGGGAAGGACCGGGCCTGCTGTGGGGACCAACATGCTGCTTCCTTCACTGAGGTGGTCTTGCTGGGAATGAAAAAACTTAAAGCTGAAGCAAACGAAACAATGTGCATAGAACATGATGGCCTGCTGAAGGACCGCACCAATTAATACTGCTCTAGAGTCTTGGTCACAGAGCAATGATACATCACTCACACTCACACACACACACGCACACACCCTTACCCTACACACACACACCCTACACACACACACACACCCTACACACACACCCTTACCCTACACACACACACACCCTTACCCTACACCAGGAGTCATGAGAACAATGAAATTGATCAACTTATTGAGACAAATGCAAACTCTTCTGGCAGCAATAGTTAAGCAAGAAGGCGTGTATTCGNCTTATTCCCCCCACACACACACACCCTACACACACACACACACACCCTTACCCTATACACACACACACACACACCCTTACCCTACACACACCCTACACACACCCACCCTACACACACACACACCCTTACCCTACACACACACACACCCTTACCCTATCCCAGGAGTCATGAGAACAATGAAATTGATCAACTTATTGAGACAAATGCAAACTCTTCTGGCAGCAATAGTTAAGCAAGAAGGCGTGTATTCGACTGCAGAGGAAGAGCAGCACACTTTTCTTCTGCGCAGTAGGAACAGTGTCAACCCAACCTCCCTCTAGCCCAGTAGGATCACCATTAATCAGGTTTTTAAAACAGCCAATCACACTGTCAGAAGGCAGCATTTCTTCTTTTAATAAGCAAATTCTTGGTAACTGCTGATGTGCTGAATAGAATTTAAACTACAGCCACACTTGTCTTTAATTAAAAAGAAGCTATATATTACAGTATATTCTATTTAGATGATAAAGGAGACTACAACAGTAAGTAACACTACAGCCATTAGAGTAATGCAGCAATGCTGATTTTACATTTCCTTAAAATGCAGCAGAACTGAAGGTTGTTGATAGTTATCAAGAGTTCAGTTTGCATACGTTTAGCAGTTATGAAGATGTTCAAAAAACACTAGACATCCTTTCCCTACTAGAAAGAAATGATTGTGCTCAGAATTCATGATTATCATCTGAAACAAAAATTTGCTTTCCATTTCTTTCTTCCTCCCATACCATACCCCTTAGTCTCTCCTGAACACATCTTCCATGGTCTGTCCCAACCCGATGCATCTCATTCCTAACTCTCAGCTCTTGGCAGGACCTGCTACATCAGCAGATTTAGCTTCAGCCTCAAGCTAGACTTTAAGTATAAAGTTATGTCACATATTATAACACTATATCCAGACACCAGATACACTTGCTTTCATTTTTGAAATGGAGAAAATAAAAACACCCCAAAACCTCCACTTCTGTTTACCCATTCTGTGTTCTAACAGTACCATATTTTTTAATCTTACACAGTGTACAGAGACTTTGAAAGACTGAGGAAGTTGGTGGTGGGGAGGCAGGGTGGTGAGTAGGGTTCCTAGTGTCTATCTATCAATGCCATTTTTAACCTCTATGCACAAGAAAAATATGTGCTGAAAGCCAATGTAGCTACCACATGAGTCTAAATGCTTTTGTTCATTATTTTTTCTCTCATGCCAATCCCACAAAAAAGAGTAAGTGGACATATATTCATTCTGAAAGATTATATGTTTCATACCATGAACCTATCTCAGAAGAGTATTATGGGCTGACACGAATTTTATCTTAGAACAGACAGTGGGTATTATTAATGGTTTTCTTCCTACAAATTCATCGTAAATGAAGTCATTTCATCGATAAAGCGTAAACCTTTTTAAAAACAAGATAACCCAGTGATGTCTAACAGTCTGAGTCAATATAAACTTACCTTTGATGTGAATTGTGACCCACACATACACTACCCAGCTGTTACATGCACTTCCTTAGGTGAGCTGAAGTTGCTCCTGTGGCTGTGGGCCTCTGCATAAACTATCCTCTAGCTGTGCATCTAAAACACTCAGACAAGTTCACAGCAGCAATCCACAGTGATCTTTATTTTCACATCTAATATACCGTTAAAGAGTTGGAAGAGAAACTCTTATTAAGAGAAATAAGCTTTTGACTTTCAACTTTACAGTAAGGCCAAATCTTTTCCCATCCTCCAGGTCAATTTTATCATGAAGAAGTGGTGAGTGTAATAGGCTGTGTATCATTTACCACGGTGGTAAATGAAGTCATTACTACTGTTCAACAAAGGCCCTAAGGCCATCCTATTATAAAGAGATAAATGGCAGGGACTGATAGGACAGAACCAAAAAAAGACCAAGGAGACACCTTTGTTCTGTGAGATCAGAAGTGAGCAAGAGAGGACCTGGCTGAAATAAAACAACAGACACATGAAATTTCTCATTTGTAATTTTAATCGAAGCGTTGCTATTCATTTTTAAAGTCTTTCCTCATAAGCACCAAATTTTAATATCTATATCAATTTGGGGGGAAAGAAACTCCATGAAGAACTCCCCTCCAGAAGAAAACAATGATATGCACTCCTCCAAATGACCAAATTCAAAGTCTACCAAAATGAAAACAAAACAAAACAAAACAAAAAAAGCCCACACAGAAAAACAGAAACAAAAACAAAAATCACATTCTAGGGGTTCAGTGCATTTAGCAGCCTTCACTGTGCTGTCTAATCATCCTAGGTCATCAAAATATACATTTTTTCCATTTGACTTTTAAATTAAAAAAAATAATTAAAAAGAGGAAACGTGAAGGAATTCACAATCAATTGCCTGACTTGTTTCGATTTCACGCACAGCATAGAAAGGTCAGGAAGGCTATTTGCAGCACACGTGACTCGGGGACACTGATTTTCAAGGTTTAGCTTTCTTCCAAACAGTGTAAAATACCCACCTGGAGAAGGAGTCAAGGAATAAGAGTAGGTAATTGAAGGCATCACTTAAAATTTGTTTACTGGCCTACAGATTGGAAGATGGATGCGCACTTCACAGCTTACAGCACTGTGGTAATGAGAGTGAAGGCCTCTGAGACAAGGTCACTTCACAGCCTGGATGCCCACCATCTGTGACATTAGGGCGAGGCTGGTGGGGAGCTTAGCAGAGAAAAGGTTAAAGGGACACAAATATTCTCTCAGGGAACACTTGTGCTTCCAAAGACTCTAAAATGTTTTAGGGAATGAATATGAGAAGGAAGGGTGGGAAGGAGAGAGAAAGATCAGAGGGAGTTGGTGGGGGAGGGGGTGGCGGAGGTGGGAGGAGAGGGACCGAGGAAGAGAAGGAAAAAATGGTGAAGGATGAGGGACCAGAGAGGAGCCAGAGGGTGGAAACCTTTTCTCCAGATGTCATCAACTGCTTTCAGAAGTCTTTGAGCATGTAGACAAAGATCTGACTGTCATGGAATGCTCTGGAGAGCAACCCTGATGAAGGGGCCGGGCAGGGAGAGGAAGCTTTGGTCTGCAGAACACTGTCTGGTTTTTAGGAGGAAGAAATGCACTATGAAAGTCCAATGACAATGCTCTCCTTTGCCTTTCCTCCGGGTTCTTCTCTTATTTCTCTGGACCAACTTTACTAAGTGGAACTAAATGGAGAACACCAACATTGACTTTGTGATGCCTGGCATTATTTTTAGCTCTATCTCTACTGCAAAGCGGCATCAAGCCAAGTGTAGAAGTTAATATTAAAGTAGAATAATATAAGTGTAAAAGGACAATGAGCTTCTTCAGCCAGCCTGCTCCAGCTCGGGTGGCTTTCTGAAGCTCTCAAGTGCACACCAATCCCCTGGTGGGCTGGTTGAGACAAGTCACGAGGCCCCAGCCTCGTGTTTCTGATTGGACAGCAGGCTGGGGTGGGGCTTAAGAATGAGCCTGTTTAACTAGCTCCCAGGTGATGTCACAGGTCTGGTGGTCCTGTGAGAATAGTGGTGCCACATCATCCAAACCACCTGGGAGGCTGTCAGGCCACACCCCAGCACCTGAGGCTGGGACCCAGGAATCTGTATTGTTTTCAAGCTCCCAGGGGATTACAACGTATAGCCAAGTTTGAAAACCAGGGCCTTCTGTATACTACAGAACTAATTCTGTTTCTTGAAATTGGTAAATGGGCATGGTATTTACATGGGGGTTCTGACTGGGCAACACAATGACATGATCAAAGGATATAATTCCAAGTACGAAGGGACACAGACGATCTCCTTCGAGAATTCCACAGGACAATACAGGCGCCCCAGCTGTTCTTCATAGAGTGACAGGGCTTCTGTCAAATTGACACAGTTCCCCTAAATCAAAGAGAGAAAAGCAAACAACAGGAATCTTAAGTCCTAGGAGCGTCCCACTCATTGGAAGGTCTCTAATAAATGAGAACAATTCTAGCTTTAGATAAAAGTTCATCTCTGAAAATGAGATAAGGTTTCTGTACTTTCACAAATTGCATTGCATTCTATTTATAGATCCATTAGCTCATTATCCTTCTACTTCATTTACCAAGCCATTTCAAATTATTCGAGGATGAAGCAACAGAAAGCAGTGAGACCAATTTCTCATTAGTGACACAGTCATTGTATCAACACCATGCAATTACCGAAGATTCATACACATAACCCATTCAAAATTAGTTTTCCCTAAAGTCACTACAGTATTGAGGATGAAGTATCAGAAACATAATGCTCTTGATTTCCAGAATGGCTTAAACTACAACCCTCTTAAGAGTCTAAGATGTTGACATAGAACTATTTCACACCCTTGTGCTTTCTCCAACAAAAGTCAATTCCATATATATACACTAAAGGTATTCCCTAGTTTACTCTTTATCAAACATTTTGTCTTGACTTCATTGTTCTAATTTTTCTCTGTTTTTTGCCATTTCTTTTTTGTCTCCCCAGCTGGTAGGAGTGGTCAATGAAATATAGTATAAATCTGCTGGAAAAGATTTTTTTTGAAATGTGTTCTTTTCTTAATTATTGAAGTATAGTTGGTTTACAACATGGTGTTAGTTTCAGCCGTACACCAAAGTGATTCAGCTACATAGATATACACCTACATACACACATCTTTTCAGATTATTTTCCATTGTAGGTTATTAAAAGATATTGAATATAGTTCCTTTTGCTATATAGTAGGTCCTTATTGTTTATCTATTTTATGTACAGTAGTTTGTATCTATTAATCCCAACCTTCTCATTTATCCCTCTGGTCCCCTTTCACCTTTGGTAACTATACGTTTGTTTTCTATGTCTATGAGTCTGTTTCTTACAGAGTCATTTGTACTATTTTTTAGATTCCACATATAAGTGATATTTGACTGTAGACAAATCAAGGATAAACACAGTGACCTTGCTCCTTCAACTTTCTTCCAGCCTGCAACTTAGATGTGATATGTGGAGCTGCAGCAGCCACTCTATGACTATTAAAAAAATTGGTGAAGAGAATCAGAAGTGCTGGTGGCCAAGACCCAGGAGAGCTGGTGAATGGATACAGAATCTGCCTAATTCTAGAGCTGCAATTCTCAATTTTTAATGTGTATATGAATCGTATGGGGCCTTGTTAAATTATAGATTTCCATTAAGTAGGTCTGGGGTAGGGTTTATCATTTGAGCACAATTTTCCCCCAATTTTCTCATAATGGATTTAGAAAACAAGATGAGCATTTAATATCAACTATTTCCTTTTAATCTCTGAAGTTCTAAACATTTGGAACGACCAGAATATACGTGCTGATAACATTTCTTCCTAAGAACTTCTTTATCAATTTGCCTCAAAACAGCCAAGATGAAAAATATTCACAAATAAAGCATCCTGTGATACAAGCATTCCTAAGGATGGCATTTCAAAATCAAAAAACCAGCCAGCTACGGGGAAGTGGGTAGACCGGACTATTCTGAGAGCTGGGCAGTTTTAACTGAGCACATTCGATCAGCATGTCGTCATACTTCAGTGCCAACCTGTTTAGTAACCCATCATCTAGGGTCCTGCAGTGGGAATTGGCCCAAGTGCCTTTGACCAGCATATAATTTGGTTTCAACATTAAGTTCACCATGAGAGTATATAAACACCACATGTGTAATTTAAGATTCACAAATAGAAAACACTCCCAGTTGTTTTTAGAACACCTCACTACTACGGAAGCTATAGAATGGAAATGCCACCAAGGTTCACAGTTCAAGCTTTTCCTTGCCATCTTAAAAATGACACCATACTCTCTCTTTATAGATGGAATACAGGAAGACCTCCTTACAAAGAATGTAGTAAGTAAACAGAACAGTTTCAATTTATTCTTCCCCCAAATTGTCAAAAAGCAGTTTAAAAAAGAAAAATCCCCACAAATAGATGCCTACCCAAAAAAAGTACCATGATACATTTCACCTTTCTGTGTATTTAAACGCAACTACACTGTTCTTAAGACATATAGGAGATACATAACAACAATCCAATAGCAAAAAATTCAGCACCTATTAAGGAGGAGAGGAAGAGAATAATGTGGCAAGGCAGGGGCACACCTGGGAGGTAAACCACAATATAGCGTCTTCCATTCTACAAGGTTCTTGTTGCCCCATGTTAGCTCTGGGTGACACCTGCTTTTTTACCTTATGGATTTTAATATTGTTTGTATCTTTTTTTTTCCAGAAAAGTCCTTTATTCCTATTAGAAATACTTTGGGATACAGAAATACTTGGGGATATGTGGAAGTATAGAACATAAAAGGGAACAAAACCAGTTAACACTGAAACAATGCCTTCCCACTCTCCTACTTCCCAACACACTGTGAGCTAGAGTGGTCAGAACACGGCTGGGGGTGGGGTAAGGCGTCTACACTGAAGGCGAGTTGTTTTCCCAGCTCTGCAGCCTCTGCGTGCCGTGCAAGCACTTGCAGGGCAGAATCCGGACAACATCATTCTGTTTATAGCTTTCTATGCAGACTGCACAGTGATCGAAGTGTGGGTCTGTTTCCTTATCACCTCTTTTCACTGTTCTGGTTGTCAATTTGCTGATGGCTTTCTTGGCTGCATCTCCAAGAGAATGTTTCTGCTGCTGCTGCTAAGTGGCTTCAGTCGTGTCCGACTCTGTGCAACCCCATAGACGGCAGCCTACCAGGCTCCCCCGTCCCTGGGATTCTCCAGGCAAGAACACTGGAGTGGGTTGCCATTTCCTTCTCCATGTTTGTATCTTTCAAAGAGTTTATGGCATATCTGTAATATAAAAAAGTCTGGAAGACTATCTACTTAATGACACCATTTTTCTCTCTTCTAAAACAAGCAAAAATAACGTGATGATTTAGGAAATCACACATATGTGAAATACCTCAAAAACAGAGGAGAAAAAAACTCTGAGTTGCTTCCAGAAGGTGGGAAGGGTTGATGGAGAGATGTAGATGTGTCAAGTATACTGGTAACATCCAGGTCTGTGGGAGGTGGGTGGAGGGGGGTTCATATCTTTGTATCGTAACTAACATGAATGTCACACACACATTTGTACTTCCAAATAACTAAAGCTTTTTTAATGGGGAGTGGAGGGGCGGAAGTCCCAGGATCTGCCTCTTAGTTCCACAAAAGCAACTCTCTGCCCCCTGGCCCACCAGACGTGGCTCCATGGATCAGCACATTCCAGGAGGACTTCCCCAGCTTTGTGGCCCACAGACAAGGCTGTCTTCAAGAAGCCACAGTGAAATTAGTGACATCATAAAATCTCCATGGTGATGCAAGCAATTTTAGGCAGGGACGTTTAGTTTTTGTCAGTTACCAAGTTAACAAGCCAAACACCATTTTTGTCCCATCTTTAACCCTTCCTCTGTTTCTAAGCTACAGGCTAAGGGAAGGGAGATGTGAGTGTATTAAGGGCATTTCCTGAGCATACCACGTGCTACATGAGGAAGTGTTCCACCGTGGCAATACCATCGGTGCGTCCTTAGTCAGAGCATGCTGTGGCTCTTGACCCGACTACTGCTTCTTCACAGGCCTATGCCCCTGTGGTCCATATGACATGTTGAACCACCCAACATACTATGGGATTCCCAGGTATCATAAAATGAGGTCGCCTTGAGTTTCCAACTACACTGAATGCAGGGGTGGGAAGCACGTCCTAACACATCCTTTGGATAACTCTTAGAAACCAGCACAGCCTTGAGTATTTAAGGTGTTTTTTAGTAAAATTTGGTTGGCAAAGACCAGGTGATCAAAGCCTGGGTCTTTATTGTTAACAAATGTGTGGTGACAATTTGTCAACCAAGTGCTTCTATTAGTTGTCCACACTGAGAAAGCAGTCTACCAGGCAAATATTTGCAACAAAAGACACCAGTCACACTTTCTTCCTAAGAGCACCTGTTGTCTACTGCAAACTGACTGGTTTGCATTAGATCCAAATTGTTCTCAGTCTCTTTTGATTAAAGATCCCAGAGCCTCACTTTCTTTCCCAACTTAAGCCCCACGGGATTTCTATTTGCAGAAACATAAAAAGAATCCAGTTCTATCAATATATGCTCTGCTTGAGAAATAGTCACTTATGAAAACCCAACTCATTGAATTTGGGTTGCTTTTACAGGAATTAGGCCACTTGGTTTGAGCAGGTTTCATTGTAGAGTTCCTGTAAAGCAGGGGTGAGCAAATTTCTGCAAAGGGCCAGAGAGAAAATATTTTAGGCTTTGCAGATCATATAGTCTTCACCACAACTGCTCCAAGCTGTTGCTGTAGTGCAAACGCAGCCGCAGACACTGTGTAATGAATGGGCGTGGCTGTGTGTCAAGAAAACTGCAAAAACAAGCAAGGGGAGAGAAGCGGCCCGTGGCTTATGGACCCCTGGCTTTTAAAAAGGCAGTATCAGAATGTGTTTTTAAAAATCATTCCTAAGCATCAGGGGTTAAAAAAAATTCAAAGTCCACTTGTAGACAGTTGTCTGTTCCCCTTGAAGCTTGCCAACACTTTCAGCAAGTATGAGATGATCAAGGATTAATTGCCACCTGTAGGGGTGTTCTGTGCAGGGGGAAGAGGAAGAAAACAGGATCAGCTGGAAACAAATTCAAGGAGTTGTCGATTTGTTTTCAGCATTATGAATCTCAGACCTCATAAACTCCCCAGGGCTTACTTTAAAAAAGCCTCCTCAGAAGAATAAAATCAGGAATTTTCCCACAGTTCTTGATATTTTTTTAAATATACTTGGGCTTCCCTGGTGGCTCAGATGGTAAAGAATCTGCCTGCAATGCAGGAGACCCAGGTTCAATCCCTGGGTGGGGAAGATAAAAAAAAGTCCATTAAATATACTAGTGCTTAAAAAAAAAAAAAGNAAAAAAAGTGGGGGGGGGGGGGAGGTAGAGTTCTCCTGAAAATGCTTAAGAACTAATTACAGGGACCAGAGTACAATACTGTTTATCTTCTGCTTATGAATCAAGAGCTTTTTCAACCAAGTAAAAAGACTGATCATCAACGAGCTGCTTTTGCTGTCATTTCCAAAATGTCAAGGACTTAAGTAGGATATATACATGTATTTTTATGTATCAGGAAATACTGACTTCAAACCTTCTTTTAAAATTACGACGCCCCTAAAAAATGAGGAAAATACAATTTGCTTCCATCTGGTGGCAGCAGTTCATACTGCAGCCAGAGCAGTTTATGAAATTATATTGATGACTTTTCCTAGATGAGGCACGAAGGCAAAACAAAACAAGAAAAGAAAATCACGGTCTGTGTCTCCCTCTGGTGGCAGAAGCTGATACTGCAGCTAGTGCAGTTTATGATGGTTTTTTCCCACTAAGACTCTCCAGAAAATGGGGGCGGGGGAGGGGAGAGATACATATATCACGGTCTGTGTCTCTCTCTAGTGGCAAAAGCTCATACTGCAGCCAATGCAGTTTATGATGGTTTTTCTACTAAACATTCAGGAGGGTGAAGAGGGGGAAGGGGGTGGAAATCACGGTCTGTGTCTTCATCTAGTGGCAGAAGCTCATTCTACAGCCAAAGCCCAAATTCAATAAATTGGAAGGTTATGGTAACAGGACAGAACAGAACAAGGCGCATGCCTGCTTAGTTGCTCAGCCATGTCTGACTCTCTGCGACCCAATGAACTGTCGCCCACCAGACTCCTCTGTCCATGGGATTTCCCAGGCAAGAATACTGGAGTGGGTTGCCATTTCCTCCTCCAGAGGATATTCCCGACCCAGGGATGGAACCCATGTCTCCTGCATTGCAGGTGGATTCTTTACCACTGAGCCATGAGGGAAACAAGCAACAGGGCAGGACAGAACTGATTAATTCCCTAAAAGGGACAGGTCAGCTATTTACAAACTTACTTCTTGAGAACACAGACAGACATAAATATAAAAACTTTTTTCAGTACAACAGTTTCATTTATCCACTTCTATATTACATCTTCAACTACCTACTTCCACATTGAGAATGCTGAGGATAAAATTAAAATATTGCATAAATGCTCAATGGCTTTATGCCACAGTGCAAATACAACTAAGAAAAGCAATACTAATGCCATCACCACCAATATGATTACTGAAAATATGTAAGATTTTTGCACATACTTGTCCCAGTCTCTCCCACTCACTGTTGTTTCCAGTAGTTGTACTGTCCCAGCATTGGAAGAACATATTGTCGTACTATACCCAGTCCCTTTAAACCTTTATTTACTCTTCATTTTACAAGTAACTAAATAGTTAGTGCTATCATTAGTCTTTATGTCAATGTCTAAAGTATTTTGGTGTGTGAAGCACAAAATGTAAAATTTTTATTGAGAATTTTTTGGGGAAAAAAAAGTTTAAAGTCTATACCTGTGTAAAATATTTCCCATCCTGTTTCAGTACTTTCATTGAGAGGTCAAGAATCAGTCTGAGAAACTCCCAAGTGGAATCTGGATGTTAAAAAAAATTAAGTTTTATAAATATCGGTTTGCATGCATGAGAAACAACATCTAAAGTCAAACATTCACATTAATAATTAATAATTCAAAAAAAACAAAAAGAAAAAAAAGAGAAATAGCCATGAGACCCAATATTCAAGGGCCTGTGAACAAGAACATACTGTCATATATTTTGTGTCTTGGACACATGTGCACATACACCTATATACAAGCAAAATCAAAAGCAAATGCAGATGTACATAACATTGCTCTCACCATACCCATAAAGATTGGACAAAAAAGCAGTGGCTGAAATCTGAAAGAGAACACCTTTAAGCAAGGGGAAAAGCAGGAGAGAAACTGCAAGAGTGAGGGTGGGAACCTGAGTCTGGAAATTCAGCAGGAAGGTAAGGTAACGGAAAAAAACATGAACACTGAAATCCTAAGCGAGCAGTGATTTTGACTGCATGGCATGAAAAGGGGCCTTGTCTCTGGTATTGCTCAGAAAGGTCACCAAATTGTCCCAGTACAGGTTAAAAAAATCCCAGTATGTAAATTATAAACAAGCTGATATCTCAATGGTATGATTATGAGTCATTTTATTCCTATACTTGTTTCAAACGACTGTGTTAATTTTGCTCGTTTAGAGGTAAAACAGGATCTGACCAAAGCCAAATCTAGCCATCTTCCCACCACTGGCCTCAGTTTACTACCTTTAATAAATGAAGGAACTTCATTAGGCAATATCTTAAGATGTTTTCATTCTCACATGGTGTTAAGAAAAACATTTCCATATTTCTGTGAACATTATCTTGGTTGGGGCAGCCTGGCTGGGAGACGGGTTTGGGAAATAATGGATATGTGTATATATCTGCCTGGGTCCCTTCACTGTTGACCTGAAACTGTCACAATATTGTTAATTGGCTATATTCCAACACAAAATAAAAAGTTTAAAACAGAAGCTACCTTCTTCTGGAGATGTGGAGATTGGAACAGCTGTCAAATCATTTATCACATAATCAAACTCTCTCCCTTCTTTGGCGTACCTCTTCAGTACTGGAATACAGTCTTCTATTAGAACCTTCCAGAGAGAACAAGCATAGATGCAGGTGAGCCAACATAACGTGAAAGTGGTTAAACACTTGTAAAAGGAAGGGGGAAATGCACACAGGGGCCGCAGCACCTGCCAGAGGAACAAAAGCCACTTCCACCCATACCTGCCAGGAGCTAAAAGTCCAGGGCTTACCAGATGCTTTACATGCCTTTCAATTAAGTGGAACAACTCCTCCTAGGAATTATTATCATCGCCATTTTACAAATAGGGAAAACAAACGAGAGAGGTCACTAAGTCTGCTCTTGCGTGCGTGCTGTTGTGTCTGCTTCTTTGCGACCCCGTGGACTGCAGCCTGCCAGGCTCCACCGTCATGGGGATTCTCCAGCAAGAAGACTGGGGCAGGTTGCCATGCCCTCCTCCAGGGGATCTTCCCGACCCAGGGAATGAACTCACATCTCCTGCGTCTCCTGCATCACAGGCAGATTCTTCACCACTGATCCACCAGGATCGTCCTCTCCTTGGTTGGCCCTTGCAAGAAACCTTGCTTTGCTCCAAACTCTGAGTTTGTTTGGCCTCACTGTGCACCAGGCACACGGACTGGGTTTCACCACATCTGCTGAGCCACCCAAGGGCCGGTGCCCGTGGCAGGTCGGCCCTGGCCAAGAGCAGCCCTTTTCCTTGAGTCTTCAACCGTCCCCAGAGTTCATTCCACTCAAGAGAACTAGGAGGGACAGGTGATACCCGCCCTTTTGGAACGAGCTTTTTTGGAAACAAATGTGACCTACAGCCCACCCACCTTAGGTATGGGTTTGGGGTCTCTCCCCCACATACATAAGCTAGGAATTCTACCTGCCCCTTCTGAGTTCACCTCCTTTCGGAAAGCGAGCCACTCTGGGCACATTGTGAGTCACCCTAATTCTCTCTTGAGACCCACACCGATCTGTTTGGGGGCCTCCATGTGAGAATAGGAGTGCAATTTTGAACTATACTTCACCTGATCTCATCTCTGCGACCATATTTGTATTTTTATGTCTTTGTGTATTAGTACTTGCGTTGGCCTGTTGAGATATCGCTGGTAATGGAGCTCATGCTGACACCAGGGTATTCTTCCCAACTTCACTGGCTTCACTTACAGCAAGGGGTTTTCCCTTTAAGAGTACAGCGTGGTCACTTGCCTTCATCTCTAATGGGGAACTGACTGGGTATCTCCTCTCTAGGGCAAGGGAGCTGTGACCTTGAGAGACCATTCTGCATTGCACTGGTGTGCCCTTTGCTTGGTATTTGACAGCAGCAGCCGTGAAAAGGTACGGGTGATGACAATTCTGTTCCATCTTGTAGTCCACTAGGGTACATTTTACAAAGCAGGGAGATCAGCTTTGCTCCCATGAATGAAAGAAAAAAATTTCACTGTACTGCTTGGTCTCAGTAGCCCCCTGGACACCCTCCAAATTAGAACATCCTTCGACTAGAACTGTTTTATAAAAGGGAAGGGAAATGGGATAGAGTTCCTTATGCATAAGCTTTTATACTATGGTATCCCATTGTATGTTTTTAAAAAAAGGGAAATACTTCAATACACAAGTAAAGCTTTTACTGTTTGCAGTAAAAGCAGGTATGAAGAATGGAAATCCATTTTGTTAAATGGAAAAAAAGGTAATTCTGTCCTAGAGTTGGTTGTTTCTGAATGGTAAAGAAACTCAGGGACAAATTAATATAGGTATAGAAAGTTTTAGAAAGTGTGTGAAAAAGGAACACTTAGAAAAGTTCATGTATGGGCCTGGTCAGTATTGGCTGTGATTAGACTGAATTTAAGTAAATAAATTTTATTATCAAGAACAGGCTGATAATGCAAGACTTGAATTTGGATTTTTGGTTTCCTCTCTCTGCTTTCCCAGCAGAAAATAAAGTTTCCTTAGAGTGCTAAGCTGCTTTTGTCTTTTTGAGAGATCTGATTTTAACTTCATGTATTTGTTTACCTTTGAGATCTTTTATTGTCACTTTGGTTGGGTGAATGGTTATTGTTTCACAGTGACTTATCATCTTCTTTGACTTTTTAGTATTTCTGACAAGTGCCCCAAATATCAAATTTGATCTGAAGTTCTTTTTGTCCTCAGCTAACTTTGGGGTGCTTCAGAGGAACCCTTGAGGCATCTCAGAGATTAAATTAACTAGGACAATTCAGTATGTTAAATTACGTGGGAAACATTGCCAAATGAGAGATAAGCCTCCTCAGGTTATATTGTGTGGGCAAATGTTTTTACATTCTTAAAATTACATGGAATACAACATTGTGAATCAACTATACTCCAATAATAATTTAAAGAAAATTATATAGGGACTTCCCGAGCAGTCCAGTGGTTCAGTCTCCAAGCTTCCACTCTATGGGGCATGCATTTGATCCCTGGTCGGGGAACTAAGATCTCCACATGCCACAGGGTGTGGCCAAATAATTAATAATAAAATAACATGGAATTTCTAAAATTCTGGTGTGTCCTAACAAAATGGTACCCATAATTCTAGTTAATACAACCAAGTCTGTCAGTGACATTGAGATCAGTTGTTTCACTGTACCTTTTAAGTCTTGTCACTCAATTACTGTCTTACTGCTTTTGCAAAAGTGCTTCATCTTCAAGAAGATTCATAGGAAAGGCTTTTTGACATGCCCTAGTTTCTAACAGATTTCAAATCATGCCCATGAACTGGGTAAGCAAGTAAAGAATCCTAAAAGGAAAAACCTAGTGGCTTCATAAAAAATGTTAACAACAACAAAAAAAAGAGTACTACGGACTTCCCTTAGTGGTACTGTGGATAAGAACCCACCTGACAATGCAGGGGACACAGGTTCGATCCCTAGTTCGGGCAGATTCCCCATGCTTCAGGTCAACTAAGCCCCAGTGCAGCACAACTACTGGCCCACATGCTGCAACTACAGAAGCCTGCATGCCCAAGAGCCAGTGCTCCACAAGAGAAGCACTGCAGTGAGAAGCCTGTGCGCCCCAGCTAGAGAGTGGCCCCTGCTCGCTGCAACTAGAGGAAGTTAGCGCACAGCAACCAGAACCAGCACAACCAAGAATAAATAAGTCTCTTCAATGTTATTTTAGTTTATATATATAATGCATTGTGTTGATAAGAGATTTAAGATTCATATCTTGACATTTAACTAAATCTTTTGGGGACAAGATTTAGGGGACAAAAATTCCTTAAAACTGCTAGATTCACTGCTTGCAAATCTTTATACACACACAAAAAAATCTTTCATTTTTCTTTCTGTACTACCTTAAGATTAAAATTATTCCATCACAAAAGGAATGGGGTGTGCACTGGAATATTTTCTAAAAACGGTTAACAGTAATTGTGTTTTCAAATGACGAACAGTTGCAAGGACCTGGTTTGTCTTCTTTTTTAATGCTTTTTCCAGAATGATTTTCTTTCAGTTTTATTGAGATATAATTGACATACAACATTATAGTCATTTAAGGTACAACCAAGAACCTGTCTTTTTTTTTTTTTTGGTTGTATTTTAAGGGTTAAGGGGCTTGCCTACTGCTGTCCCACAGACCAGGAACCCTCTCCCCTTTAGAGCTTCGGGAAAACTCTCAGCATCAGAAGAGTTTGTCAGACTCCCCTTGGTGGCTATTCTGTTCCCAAAATGGGGAGGGGGATGCACTGGAGCACTAAACTTCCTCAAGAGCCAACCTATTTAAAATTTTTTTCCTTCTCTAAAAGGTCCCCCTGTCTATGTCACCATCTGCCTTTGGTGCTCTGTCCTCAGAGCTTGGACTTGCAAGTCGAGGAGTTTTTTTCTGGGGCCATTAGTAAATCTTCCCACTTACATCCATATCCTGCCTCCAATCACAACAGTCTATGACTCTACAGTACTGCAGGTTTAGATGTGCTGTTCTTGTATTTTTTTCTTAATCCACATAAGTAAGTCAAAGGAGACAGGGAGTCAGGGAGACATGAATTTGAAACATTCCTCTAAAGTTACCCTAGAAATCCTGAATAAACTGCCCTTTGGACTCTTTAACTTACTGTCTTCATCTCCAAAACAGAAAGCAGCAGCCACATAAGGCTTTGAGGATTAAATTTTAAAACACTTAAGCAAAGGGTCTGGCTCACAAGGCAAATAATTGTAAACAAATGATAAAATTTGCAGATATTTTTGTCATTGTGAAAAGTCTGTCATGCTCTGAAGAACCTAAATCCTCCCTCTTCCTTTTCATGTGTACAGCATTATATTTTAAATTTTGTGTGTACTACAGCATGCTCACCACCAAAAGGATCATTTCCATCCATTACCAGACAGTTGGTCCCCTTTACACATTTCAGCCTCCCCCACTCCTTGCCCTTCTGGGAAGTACTACTCTGTTCCCTGGGTCTATGTATTATTTGGTTTGGTTTCTTCCTTTATTAAAAAAATTTTTATACTCCGCATGAGTGAAATCATACAGTATTTTTCTTTCTCCGGACTTTATGCTAAGTGAAAATAATACCATCAAGGTCCATCCAAGTTGTCACAAATATCAAGATCTCATTCTTTTATTTTTATGGTTGAGTAAGATTCCACTGTGTAATATACACCACATCTTCTTTATCCATTCACCTGTTAATGGACAGTTAGGTGGCTTCCATATCTTGGCTATTATAAATAATGCTGCAATAAATATGGAGGTGCACTTATCTTTTCAAATTAGTGTTTCCCTTTCCTTCAAATAAACACCCAGGATTAGAACTGCTGCATCATCCCTCCCTTTTTAAACTTTACAATAGTGTAAGTGAAATATGTATCTTTCCCTTTTGCCCATAAAACTATCACAACTGCATTTTAACACAGATATAATTTCTCTCTCGGCTTAAAAATATTAATAGGAGTGTACCATGAAATCAAATTGGACACACACACCTTAGAGAACATGGGTAGGAGTAAGTAATTTATGTAACAAATTAAAGCACTCATCTAAACTGTTTATAAAACTAGAGATACATATTTAAGATTCTAATCAAATAAAAATATGCATTAGCTTAGCTATCTTGCTCTACCAAATAATGTGGGTATGGGCACTAATATTTGGATACCCAAAATACAATACAAAATGTATCCTACAAACTGTAATGATTGGTCAACTTACAAGCACAGTAGAATTTAGGAACTTGGCTTCCCTTGTGGCTCAGCTGGTAAAGAATCTGCCTGCAATGAGGGAGACTTGGGTTCGATCCCTGGGTTCGAAAGATCCCCTGGAGAAAGGAAAGGCTGCCCACTCCAGTATTCTGGCCTGGAGAATTCCATGGACTGTATAGTCCACGGGGTCACAAAGAGTCAGACACAACTGAGTGACTTTTCACTTTCACTTTACTTAACAAGAAGCAAATATTCCTATGCCAAACATTGTAATCATCTACACTCTCTAATTAAATTAGTAAATCCCTTCTCGAAGACTCAGAAATGGACTCAGGCTAAAATAGACAAAAGGTAGTGGCTGCCAGGTCATAAAAAGGTACATGAGGACTTCCCTGGTAGTTCAGTCGGTAAGAATCTGCCTGTCAATGCAGGGGATACATGCTCGATCCCTGGTCCAGGAAGATTCTACATGCCATGGAGCAAATAAGCCTGTGCACAAGCCACAACTACTGAGCCCATGCGCCTAGAACCTCTGCTCCACAAGAGAAGCCACCGCAATGAAAAACCCGTGCTCCCCAACTACACAGTAGCCCCTGCTCACTGCAGTGAGAGAAAGCCCACTTGAAGCAACAATGACCCAGCATAGCCAAAAATAAATAATTTGTAAAAGGTACATGACATCTTTTATACAAGAATGTATTCATGTTATTAAATTCAAAGCATCTGGAATTGGCAATTTCTTTTCTTTATTAGATGTACACACTTTCCCTGGATATAAATATATATAGAACTCACGTAAGGGAATAAAGGGCAGCAGAACAGACTATCTCAAAACAGCAAATGTAGAGAGGCTTTCTCTGAACTCCCCCTTATCTACCTAAAGACAGAGCCCCCAAAAGGAACTAAAGCATCAAAGATCCCACCCCGAGGGATTCAACCAGGGAAGATGGCCTCTTATCATGGCAGAAGAGGCTGACACCACACCCAAACTTTTCCACAAAGTATCACACCTCTTTCTCTACTCTTCTAAGGGCCCTGTCCATTTTTCCTAAGTCATTTACTCTCATCTAAGACACCTTTGAACTGTGGTGTCGGAGAAGACTCTTGAGAGTCCCTTGGACTGCAAGGAGATCCAACCAGTCCATCCTAAAGGAGATCAGTCCTGGGTGTTCACTGGAAGGACTGATGTTGAAGCTGAAACTCCAGTACTTTGGCCACCTCATGCAAAGAGTTGATTCATTGGAAAAGACCCTGATACTGGGAGGGATTGGGGGAAGGAGGAGAAGGGGACGACAGAGGATGAGATGGCTGGATGGCATCACCAACTCAATGGGCATGAGTTTGAGTAAACTCCAGGAGTTGGTAATGGACAGGGAGACCTGGCGTGCTGCGATTCATGGGGTCGCAAAGAGTCGGACATGACTGAGCAACTGAACTGAACTGAACTGAAGACACCTACGTCCCCCCTTTCCCTGTTAGGATCATACTTAAGCTTAAATTCTAAAGCCACCTCTGAGTTGCTCATCTTCCTGTGTATCTTCCATGTATACGAGTGTAAAACATTAATGAATCTTGTTTTTCCTCTTGTTAGTCTTATTACAAGGGGTCTCGGGCAAGCATTGGAAGGGTAGAAGGGAACTTTTTCCTCCACTACAAGATCATTCATCATCTTGATTATCTTCCTCTTTAAAAAAAAATATATTATTTATTAATTTATTTGGCTGCAATGGGTCTTAGTTGGGGCATGTGGGATCTAGTTCCCTGACCAGGGATCACACCCAGGCCCCCTGCATTGGGAGTTTGAAATCTTTAGCCACTGGACCACCAAGGAAGTCCCAATTATTTGTCTTCTTAACCAATTACACTTAAAGCTGTTTTAAGAAAGCACAGTTGTGATCAATAACATCATATTATCACCTGACTTAATAAAAAACACTTATCTGGTAAAAATAATTACCTGATAGCAGTCTCCTTTAAGATTGTCTAAGACATCACCACACGTTTTTCGCATGTATTTCTTACATCCGTCAATCACCATTTGGTCAATGTTCAAAATAGGTTAAGGAGAAATTTCCCCTGGATTTGAACATGTCAAAGGATTCTGAAATAGTTTTTTAAAAGGTAAAGATGAACATAACATTTTTCACACTAATTTGGGTACTATAAAGTTTAAAAAAATGATGGATGAGACAATGACTTCATTTGCGCACCAAGGACACTCAAAAGGCACTGAATTTCCTTCTAATGGAGAAGCCGTCTCAGCAACTGCTGGGCAGCTGACACGGTGCAAAGGCTGCCTGCTCTTTAATTCTCAACTCTGCTTCTTTGCTGGTGGCCTGCTGGTAGCCATATAAAAAGGCTACTGGTACTAAGTTGAAATCTTCGTTCAAAGTAATCTTATAACATTAACTGTAGTACTAAGATAAAAAAGGAGGAAGAGAATAAAGTCCACCAAACTTAATCTCTTATACAACAAAGGATATCTCTACCATAGTCACCATCTTTGGTTTCAGTTTGACTATTTCACATAATATGCCCCCATCTCCACCTCCCAGAATCAGTACATCTTTGCCACTGTAATCTTCTTTGCCACTGCCCATGATGGCCCGGGTATACGCCAAATCACTTTCCGCCAAATCTAGGGAGGAGAAACATCCAAAACAGTGACTTAACCAAGGTCTCAGAGCACCTGACTTATCATTCCAGAAATTGCTAGAATCTAGAAAATTCAGACATTTTCCTTTTCAGTCTTTAAAAACTCAGCATATGGAAGGTTTTAGTGTTTTTTTTTTCTTTTGGATTGTGGACTTTTCTTCATCCCTACTCGACTAACCCCCAACATGTTACCTACATAGATTATACACAAATATAGCTTAATTTAGAAGAAAATTCAGTCTTTAGCCTGTTCAGATATGATAATTAAAAAGTAATTATGTATTTCTAGATGAAATATAACAGCAGAGTTGCTTCAAAAGAATATGAGAGGGAGAAAAGTGACTGGAGTTTAAGGGAAACAAGACTGGCCAGGAGTTTATCATTGCTGACACTCAATGGTGAGTATACGTGGGTTCATCTGACTGTTGTGTCTACTTTGGTTTGAAATTTTCCACAACAAAAAGACTTCCAAATAAACAAGCAATTAATATAAAATAATCAACAAGGACCTACTGTATAACACAGGGAACTAGACTCAATATCTTAACAATAACCTATAACAGAATGTTAATAAATATGTATTTTATATCTATGTATAACATAAAAAAAGAGTATCAAGACAAAGTTTTCATGGCTCTACTATAAAATATGAAAACCCAGACAAGTCACAGGTAAATCTAATGTAAATATTAATCTCAAAAACCAAACACACACAAAATAACCAGCAGTGCCCAACGACACACCTGGACAAACCCACAATGGTGGTATGTCATGAAAACGCAATCTAAAATTGTCACTTTGTTATGTGATTGGGGTAGAGATGGAATACTTACTAACATCTCCACTGAGGATGAGAATATTCCCAAATTGCTTTGAATGTAAAATTTTAATGTTCTGGTAAGGTGAGTCTTCATCATACACCACTTTATCTATGTCGTACTCAACCAGGCGGCCATCCGCAGTGGGCCAGTATCTGTCGATGGCCCCTCCTCGAACTATGGGTGGTAATCTGGAAAAAAGGGGAAAGAAGGAAAATAGGAATGAGCCTTATGACAGAGTCTGCTTAGGTGAGGCCACCTGAAAAGAAGACCTAGGAACAAGAATGTTCCATGGAGCCACATAGCCTCAGGCAGACTCCTAAATAGTACACAACCAACCAAAAACTTGAACTTTGAGGGCTATGTAAGAATGGCCACCACCAAATTTCAACAGTGCTGTACATTAAGAATTAATTTGGGGCTTCCCTGGTTAGAATCCGCCTGCCAACGGAGAAGACACAGGTTCGATCCCTGGTCCAGGAAGATGCCACAAGCTACGGAGCAACTAAGCCCATGCACAACTACTGAGCCTGTGTTCTGTGTATGTGCTCGGTTGCCAACTCACATCCAACTCTTTGTGACTCCATGGGCTGCAGCCCACCAGGCTCCCTTGTCCATGGGATTTTCCAGGCAAGAATACTGGAGCCTGAGCTTTAGAGCCCAAGAACCATAACTATTGAGCCCACATACTCGTAGCAACTACTGCAGTCCATGCTCCACAAGAAGAGAATGAGAAGCCCTCACACCACAACTAGAGAGTACCCCCACTTGCCACAACTAGAGAAAAGCCCAGGCAGCAACAAAGACCAAGCATGCCAAAAATAAACAAAAAATAATTTTAAAAGCACCTCTGCAAAAAAAAATTAATGTATTTGGCTGTGCCAGGTCTTAGTTGCAGCATGCAAACTCTTAATTGCAGCATGTGGGATCCAGTTCCCTGACCAGGGGTCAAACCTGGGCCCCCTGCATAGGGAGCTTGGGATCTCAGCCACTGGACCACCAGGAAAATCCCAAGAATTTACTTTTTAAAAAGACCTTTCTGTAATACTTTAAATTTTCCCTAAAAAATGAAAAAAAAAGTTGAAGGAGAAAGTGGCCACTAGAGACATCACGCTTCACACCCCAATACTTTAGCAGGAAGGACTCCTCAAGAATGTCTGCGTCACCACTTTGTCACTAGCACATGCATCCAAGTGCACACACATGTAATACCATCACCTAGCTCGGAATCCATGTTTAAGTGTTCCCAACTGCCCCAACTATCTCCTTCATAACTATGCTACTTTTGAATAAGAATCACATACTGTATTTTGCTTTTTTTATCCTCATTTCATCTAAAATAGATAGTTGTCACTGTCATCCCTTCCCCGTGTTTCATGACTTTCACATCTCAGCAAAGTCCAGACAAGGTGTTCTGCAGAAAATCCCTCAGGGGGGTTTGCCTGAAGATCTCATCAGTAGGGTCACGTTGGCACATTATGCACCCATCACATCAGGGACGCTGAGATGTATGCCTGTCCTAATTGGTGATGCTAAGTGTGACCATGTGGTTAAAGCCACGTTAACGCCCCCAAGATCCCTCCATTTGCAAAGGTACCTTCTGTCCCTTGGTAATTATGAAGCAGGGTGTGTGGGGGGGCTGGAGGGGGAAGTCCACGAAATCCGGGTCAAGAAAACCGGGTCAAGTTCCTGATCTCTTGACACACCTTCACCAGTGGCATCTAGAAGATTCTTGCCTGAACCAATTAGTATGGGAATGTCTGCCGACTGGTGATTTTGTCATCCAGTCCTTTTTGTAACTCCTGAGTGTCTTACAGAGTATTCTAGAAACTGCCGGCAGAGGACGCTACATGACAGGGAAAACCAGACTCAGCAAGGAGGCTTGGCCAAGGAAGGGGACACAGACAAGGTGAGCTCACCGCACACACAGCACAACCACGCGCAAGTTCTGTGTCCGCAAATACAGTGGGGTGCGCAGTAAGCAATCCCCAGGAACCTAAAACGCTGGGCTACCTCTGACTTGCTCTCCAAAGTCTTTGCTCGCCCTGCTCACTTGTTTCCAAGAATACAGTCTGAACCTGTTACAGGTTAACAAGGCTTTCAATGAAGAAATAACTGCGTGTGTGCTAAGTCTCATCAGTCATGTCCTACTCTGTGCGACCTCATGGACTGTAGCCCACCAGGCTTCTCTGTCCACGGAATTTTCCAGGAAAGAATCCTGGAGTGGGTTGCCATTCCCTTCTCCAGGGGATCTTCCTGACTCAGGGATTGAATCCGTCATCTCTCACGTCTCCTGCACTGGCAGGCAGGTTCTTTACCACTAGCGCCATCTGGGAAGCCCCATGAGGAAATACTAATATCCGTCAAGGGCACTGAATTTACAAAGCAAGTTTTCATAAAGTATCATTTAATCCCAACTCCTCCTGATTTAACCACTTCTTCACCTTCTAGAACAAATGCAGCTGTTGGAATTAGGCAGTAAGGGATTTTTCTTGTAAAACGTCATTGCCCCGGCAGGACAACCCCTGACAGCAGGCAAATAGGACTAGGGAGAAGCCTCTTCCACCCCTGGCTGATGAGTGGTGGGAGCATGAGCCCCTGTGACACAGTATGAAAGCACCAAACAGCAATTCAAGGGAGGAAACCTACCCCTGGGGGTTGACAGCCAGCTATAGGCAGTTCCTGAACTCTTGCGCAAAACCAATGTAAACAACGTCCATTCTCAATTGCATCAATGGTGCCTTAGGCGCAAGTAGAGCTCTTTATTGCAACACAGTCCTTTTTAAAGAGATCCAAAGAAACAAGGATCTGAAAGGATGGCTTCACCTTGATGAATTACTCATTCTATGATACCAGCAGGACCCTGGGGGCTCCTAGGCACAAAAGTCTTTCTGTGTCCCTCCATTTCTTGACTACAGGAAATAGGCTTCCTTCAGCCTCCAGGATCTTCCCTGAGTTCCAGGGAGCAGGTTCACACACATGCTAATCAGAAAAGGGAGGGGATATTGACACAAAGGTAGAACAGTCAGAAGAAACAATAGGGCAGCCTTGGAGTAGAGTCCTGGTTCCCATCAAGGGATACACACAACGACATCTTTGAGAAGTTTGCAAAGACTGAAATTCTCACCAGGTAGGAGAAATTAAAGGTATGCTGCCCACAGGGGAGTAATCATTTCAGATGTTCCTGAGTCATTCCTTAACGATTCAGTCTCTAACAATGTCATCCTCAGACAGCAAAGTGGCACCATTCTTGTCCCTTTGAGGCCAAAAACAAAGGCCCTACAACAAAGTATTCCCAATAGCTTCCTGCCCCCTCCACCCTGATTTTATAAAAAGATGTAAAAACAGTGACAAGAAGAACAAGGCTTGTGCTGTGTTTTGAACTGAAATCAGAAGTGTAACTGCACTCTCACTTCAAAAACTCCCACACCACAACCACACAGGAACCAGATTTCATGAGTGCTGGGGCCCATAAACGCATTTCATCTATTCATTCACTGCTAGAAGTAACCCCAATAAAAACCACACTAATAAAAAAAAATCTGGCATTTTGATGTTGGCCAATTCATTATCACCAAACTAAAGACACAGTGGGAACCCATTCAATTCAGATGGATCAATTCAGGAAAGATTAGGAAAACTTTGCAAACAGGAAAAGAGGGAAATTTCAGAAAAGATTGTGGGTGTGGACAAGTTACTTGAGGATGAGGAAGGGCCTGAGGATACGTAAACTGAACGTAGGGGATAAATAAGTCTGGCTCCTCTGACAGATTTCAATCAAGCGGCCAAGTTCTATGCTATGTCCTGCTCTCTTCACATGCAGTTCCCTGCCTTGTATTCAAGTTGGAGGTTAAACAAATTTCTAATTATTCTATACCTGGCCTGGGGCTTTCCTCTGCTGCTGCTGCCGCTGCTAAGTCACTTCAGTCATGTCCGACTCTGTGTGATCCCATAGACAGTAGCCCACCAGGCTCCCCCGTCCCTGGGATTCTCCAGCATGAACACTGGAGTGGGTTGCCATTTCCTTCTCCAATGTGTGAAAGTGAAAAGTGAAAGTGAAGTTGCTCAGTTGTGTCCAACTCTTAGTGACTCCATGGACTGCAGCCTACCAGGCTCCTCCGTCCATGGGATTTTCCAGGCAAGAGTACTGGAGTGGGGTGCCATTGCCTTCTCCAGGGGCTTTCCTCCAGGCTGATCAAATTTAGCAGGATGAACCATTAAGTACTTAAACATCCTTTAACAGCCAGTAAGGATTCCTTCTTGTGGAAAATGCCCTGAACTGGAGAAGTCTGTATTCTGGTCACTTCCAATAGTGATGGTCTGACCTTAATCAAGTCTCTCTGTGTTATTGCATCTATGTATTTGCCTTTATGAGCAAGCTGTTATTGTTGTTCAGTTGCTAAAGTCCTGTCCGGCTCTTTGCAACCCCATGGACTGCAGCATGCCAGACTTCCCTGTCATCATCATCTCCCAGAGCTTGCTCAAACTCATGTCCATCAAGTCGGTAATGACATCCAACCATCTCATCCTCTGTCGTCCCCTTCTCCTCCTGCCTTCAATCTTTCCCAGCATCAGGGTCTTTTCCAATGAGCCGGCTCTTCACATCAGGTGGTCAAAGTACTGGAGCTTCAGCATCAGTCCTTCCAATGAATATTCAGGACTGATTACCAGGACTGACTGGTTTGAACTCCTTGCTGTCCAGGGACAGACCCGTTTGGGGGGTCTGGTAAGGAATCACCCAGGGAGAGCAAGGCCAAACCGCTCAGAATAACTTATTGTGGAGCCATGATTCATTTACATTCTTCATTCCCAGAACCTGTCAGACTCTACCCCTCCCAAAGAATGCCAAAACTTCACTTCTATCAGAGCTCTTCTAACATCTGACACCACTAGCACATATGTCTGTGCCATCCAGCAGAACATTTCTCTGTGTAGTCCAACATGGCAGTCACTAGCCATTAGCTAGTGACAAAAGATGAGTAAGGAAATGAACTGTCTTTGTTCTTTTTATTAACTGAGTTTTAAACAGACACAGGTGGCATAGTAGCTGTACTCCTCAACAAAAGCTTAATGGTCTTTGTCATCAACTGAAAAGGACCTACTGGGGGTGCTCAAGGTTGGTTGCCTCTGATGTTCTTACAGTGTCAATATCACCCTACCTGAAAGCACTGAGGCAAATTTTCTATCATCCCATCCTGTCAAAATCTCTTAAAACTGCTTAATTCTACTGTGCGGCCCAGAACTCTGAGGAAAGATAGATATTTTTTTCCGTTCACTGGACATGGTCAAGAAGGAGTTTTCCAGCTCCTCGTTGAGGTGCCAGCCCCATCTGATTCTCTGCATTACAGTTTCACCCCTCAGGATCACTGGACACTCCTTTCTGCCTCTGTTCCATTTTATCTAGCATCTCTCCCTCTCTCTCTCTCTCTCTCTCTCTCTCTCACACACACACACACACACACACACACACACACACAGAGTCTTCTGCCATCAGGGCCATCTACATTAGCCTATCAAGTGGCCAGAAGCAGAAGTTGACTGATCTCTTCCACATCTTACATAGACACTGCTCAGGGATAACACCACCATTGCAATTATTATATTGATTGTTTTTATTGTTGTTTAGTCACTCAGTCGTGTCCAACTCTCTGCAACCTCATGTACTGTAGCCTGCCAGGATCCTCTGTCCACAGGATTCTCCAGGCAAGAATACTGGAGTGGGCTGTCATGCCCTTCTCCGGGGGATCTTCCCCACCCAGGGATCGAACCCACATTTCCTGCACTGGCAGGCAGATTCTTTATCATCTGAGCCACAAAGGAAGCCCGTTTTATCAATTAGCCAAATATAAAAGAACATTCAGGAGTGGACTTACCGCTTTACCCGCTCAGTACTGTCCTGACTCAATTCTTTCATTCTTTCTTCTACTTTGTTCAAAAGCTGCAATTACAAGAAAAGAAATCGATGGGCTTATCAAACAAGCTGAGTAGAAGAGCTAAATTACAGCCCAGAAGGTCAGTGTCATGTTGACAGAGCTGCTACTCTGGCAGGGGTCCAGGCACACTTGTCCTCCCTCACCTCTCCAGCAGCCTGCGGGCCTGGCCCAACTCCACACTCCCCTGTCCTCGACCCCTCCCACTGCCAACCTCACTTCAGTCTATGGTATCAACAGTATCAAAAGGTATCCTAAGTAATAGGAAAGGGGAAGGCTCAAGGACACTGCAGCTATGATATCCTGGTTAAAGGTTTACATTCCCTCCAGTGCAAAGTCAAGTCATTACTCAGTACTCAAGTGGCCGAGGGAAAGATGAGAACCAGGGTCCTAAAAATCACTTGAGGAATGATTATTTTTCTTCTAAAATCACTTATCTGAAGGCAGCCAAGTTTAAAATTAACTGGGAAGTCAACAATTAGGTGAAAATGATTTTATCATTGAACTGAGCCGTTTTTGTGATCCTTAAATACTTGAGTAAATAAAAGTGGAAAACTGACACTATCGACTTCTTTGCCTTGTGCATCGCCGTCGTAACTCTGAAGATCCAGCAACACCAATCCATGCGGGTAAATTCTCAAATTGGCAAAGCTACAGAGGAGAGCATAATTATAAGGTTAGGAACTGTATCATGGCACTCAAAAGAAAAAAGGCACCAACCCAATTAAAAGGCAAAACCACTGCTCTTTTTCCCCTAAATAACATAATTAACCCTGTGGCTTTCTTATTAGAAGCCTTTTCATGGGGGCAGGGAGGCCAAACATTTAGGCAAGATTTTAGACAGAATCATCAAGTGCTAAGGTTTTCAAACAGGTTATTGGGCCCAGAAAGTGATTCAGCAGGAAGTCCTGTGAATCTGATTTTTAAGAAGGTTCCTCAGCAGTGACTGATCCCTCCTTAAAAGGATGGGAGGGTGGGGCAGAGCAAACTCAGTTCTCCCAATTACCCTCGGAGTTCAAAACAGAGCCAAAACAGAGCCGTGTTTTTCTGACTGTACACAGGTGGTGGCTACATTCATTGAGTTAGCGGCCTACAAGTCAGATCCAGCCCTTGGCATGTTTTGTAAAGCACGCAGATTAAATATGGTTCTTACATTTTTAAAGAGTTGTTTAAGGCAAAAAAGGAGTATGTGACAGGGACCTTATTTAGCTCCTTACGGGAAAAGCTTTAACCTCTAATTCAGTGTCTGACCAGCTTTTTTGTGAAATAAAATTAGTGTATCACACATGTATAAGAATTATCTGAATAAACTTTTCCTTCAATTCGACGTGTATATTTGTATATATGCAGATATGTATGTGCACATCTGATATAAAATCACTTCTTTTTTAAAATATTTATTTGGTTACGCCAGTCTTAGTTGGGGCATGAGGGATCTAGTTCCCTGACTGATGATCAAATCGGGCTCCCTGCATTGGGAGCAAGGAGTCTTAGCCATAGAACCATCAGGGAAGTTCTAAAATCACTTATCTTACTATAAGGTGTGGTTAAAGAAAAATTTGAATAATAATACTAAATAAGATGAAGAATTCTGTTCAGAGAATACAAGCAGTGTGCTTAGATTAAAAAAGATAAACACAACTAGTTAATTTTCACCTTCAGTCCTTAAATGGCCTCAAAATCAAGTTCAGGCCAGGGGCACCACTAACTCACGTACACCTGAACTAGCTGATCACACCCCCCTCCCAATCTGCCACACAAAGGAGAGGAGCTAGGAGCCAAAGAACGATAGAGAAATGCCACCTCTTAACCAGCTAGGTGGTTCGAGCACAGAATCCCCCACCAGAGAACCACAGGAACATGGAGATGCCGCAAGGTGGGGACAAGCACTGACCTCATCTGATTAAAAGCAAAAATAATGAAAGAGGAAAAGTTGCAAGGGGGTGGGGGGGAAATGGAGACCAAAAAAAAGGTGACTGAGGACCAAGACCTCTGGCAGCATGGGGATGGGTCCCAGCTGAGCAAGTGACAGAAGAGGAAGATCAAGGTGGAAACAAATCTTTAAGCACGTTAGCGACTTCCCTGATGGTCTAGTGGTTGGGACTCTGCGCTCCCACTGCAGGGGGCCCAGGGTCCACCCCTGGTCAGGGAACTAAGAGCCGGCAAGCTGCATGGCAAGGCCAAGAAAAAAGTAAACTAAGCATGTTAATTTCTCTCTTCTCTGTTTTCAGAAGCAATTTCCAACAGCTCTTATCACTCAAAAACTCCCTTCCAGGAAGAATTCTAAGTCTTCTAGAAAACTGGGATTGGTGTCTAGGGTAGAAGATTCAAGAACTGAAGTAGAGTGGTTGGCCCTGTCCAGCCCCAAAGGTCCTTAGGAGGTGGTAGGAGATGCAAGGGGCTTCCCTGGTGGCTTCGCAGAAAAGAATCTGCCTGCCAATGTGGAAAATGTGGGTTCCATCCCCGGGTTGGAAAGATGCCCTGGAGAAGGAAACAGCAACCCAGTCCAGTATTCTTGCCTGGGAAATTTCATGGACAGAGGAGCCTGGCAGGCTACAGTCCACAGGGTTGCAAAAAGGCGCACAACTGAGCGACTACACAACAAGAGATTCAAGGCTTCAGCTGGATTAGAGGAGGAACCTGACAAGGTGGCAGAGAGGTAAGGTCTGACTTGCTGTGGTCCCCAAGTTACAGACCAGAGCTAGGACAGGAAGAGAGGGGGACAGGGAGAAAGGAGAAGAGAGATTTGAGGGTGTAAGGCCAGCTGCAGACCTCTGCTTCCAGGATACTTGCCAGTAACTGGGTGAGGACGGAGGCAATGGAGGGTCTGGGTCACCCTTGAGAGGAAATCACTTTAGATACATTGGAGGGATCTACTCTGTGCATATATGGGGATTTGCTATGCAGTCAGAAATACAGATTTGGGCTTGAGGGCACAGGGGTTAAGGTTTCTTTGAGAGGTGTAGATATGTTCACAGGGAAGAACTATGTAGACTTACAAAAAGAATAATAGAGCTCAAAAGAACAAATTTTCTTCACCTCACGACATTGTCTTTTGAGCCTCTGTAACATGGGGTGGGGGGTTCTTTTAGTTAGAAAAACAAGGGGGAGAATGTGGGACATTAATGAAACCTTGTAGAATGCTAGGACTTAGTTTCCATTGGGAGAAAAGAACGAAAGCCATCAAAAATACACAGGAGTTCACGTTTTAAAATTAACAGTGCAAATTACTAAGACTCTTAACAGTTTTAGACTCTAGAAGATACTACATAGACTTAGGGAAATCCAGAACTCACTGCACCAGTATCTTCTGTGATCAGTCATTTCTTTTTTCTTTTTAACTTGGCTGCGCCAGGTCTTAGTTGCAGCAAGCAGGATCTTTTTAGCTGCAGCATACAGGCTCTTAGGTACAGCATGCAGGATCCAGTTACCTGACCAGGGATGGAACCGGGCAGCCCCACATTGGGAGCACAGTGTCCCAACCGCTGGACCACCAGGTAAGTACCCTGTTCTCAGTCATTTCTTAATTGAGGTTTCCTTCCCTAGTCTCAGGTTGACTTTCATTTCCATACTGATCAGAGAAAAAGTCTAGACAGATCATCTATAAAGTCTTAAGGAGAAAACAAAACCCAAAATCTTAAAACTCCTGGATGCCCCCAGCTTCCTATCAAGCTCTTTGCAGACTTTTTCATCCTGCATTTGACTACGGTCTGCATTAACTGATAACCACTTATTACACTGCTACTCACAATGGGGTCAAGTGACCCACAGTATCAACATCCTCTGAGAGGAGCTTGTCAGAAATACTATTTGGGGTGCAGTCCCAGACCTGCTGCAGCAGAAACTCTCAGAGTGGAGCACAGCGCATCTGGATCATGGCCTGCCAGTTCACACTGCTTATGCTGCCGGAGGCTTCTGAGTCGGGCACACAGAATCACCTGAGGGTCTTTAGAGAAACAGCAACACCCAGTGGCCTTAATCTCTAGGGGGAGTGCCTGGGCATGGGATTCTATGATGATGATTCTATTGGGAAGCTAGAAGCACTGGATTCTAGTCCCCTCCTCAAATATGTCAAAGGAGGAAAAGAAAAAAATTCTGGATACCTCCCACCACCACTCTTTACACACACACACACACACACACACACACACACAGCTAAAGCGCTCAATCTGGATGCCCCCCACCACCAGTCTTTACATACACACACAGTTGAAGCGCTCAGATCCGAACAGGAGCGTTCACGGTCACCTCACCTGCCATTTTTGTTTATGTATGTTGCCAAATAGCCATGGTCCTGCCAGGTGTGCACTGACTCCGTCATCCCCTGCTCCTGGAAAATGGACTGGAGGCCTTTCAGAATAGTCTCACCATCAGCTGGAGAACAGGGGGAGAAGGCAAGATGGTCAGCTGAAACACTGAGAAGCAAAGCACAGTTTGATGAATGAACTTTTGAGAAACCCTGAACAGAGCTATGGGCATCACTTATCCCCTTTGTCATGAGCTAGAACTTGCTCAACCCCATAGGGAGAGGCTGCAGATTACCAGGTAACACAGTAAGAATGGCAACACCAACCACAGAATAGCTGTGCCAAAAATGCAGACAGATAATTCAGCCAACTAGAAATAGCATAACAAAATATTCAGCCTAGCCAGAAACCAAACAAAAACATGATAAAAGACATTCCACTTTAGGTGAAATAAACTTAATGAGGATCTAGAGTACTAGAAAAGGGTTTCCATCCACTGTTGATGGGTATTATAAATGACTTCAAAACTTTTGACTCTGTATTCCAGGTGTTCTACAATAAGGATGCCTTGTTTTCTTTATTGGGAGAAAAAAAGAAATAGCACCACTCAGTAACCTATTTTTAATTGGTAGAAACTGAACAATTCAATATACTACAACCTGCTAGGCATTCTGATGCCCCTCTCTCCCATCCCACCCACTACCCCCCAACCCCCACCAAAGAGGAGCTCAGGTCAAGGACTGAGGTCAAGGTTATAGAAACTGCATTAACCTCTGCAGGTTTACTTGAATCCAGAATCTTCACAAACATCCAACAGTATGATACTTAGATGAAAAGCAAAATGCAATGAATTCTCTAGTTGTATCTGCCAAAGTACTCATTCCTTGAGAAGGTTAAGGATAAAGAACCACAATAAGACAAAAAGAATTACTCTGTACTGTCCCATGAGCCCACCACAGGCTGATTCTTTTTCCACATGAAGGAAAAGAGGGCAGGCTGAGAAGCGTCAAAACAAAGCACCCCTGTGACTTAAACCAAGAGCAAAAAGGAAAAAAAAAAAAAAAATGGAAAATCCACAGTTGACCGCAGTGTGGTTTCACAAGAAAATTACACTAGAATTCCTTCCATAAACCAAGGAGTGCCAAAATGGACTGGAAGAATTCCTTCAATCTACACAGAGCTGATCTCCAATGACATCTGGAACTAGGCCCCCCAACACCTTCCAGTGCACAGTCAGAACAAGGGCTACAAAGTAGGTTCAGAGCCCACACTGGGCAGCAGATATGTCTTATTCTGGCCTATGCAGACCTTTTTAAGTTAACTGGTGTCTGAAAACCAGGTGATTTCATCTATTCCCACTGTTGGGGGTAGAAAAGTGGCCCCCCAAAATATATGGCCACATTCTAACCCTCAGAACTTGGGAGTGCAACCTGATCTGGAAAAGGGTTTTTGCAGATGCAGTAGTTAATTTAAAGATGCCGAGATGGATGATCTTCGAGTATCCAGGGAGCTCCTAATTCCAGTAAGTCCTTATCAGAGACTGAAGCCTGGAAGACACAGGGAGGAGGAGCAGGAGCAGGTGAAGACAGGGAGAGACTGGCAATGTGATGGCCACCAGCCAAGAACATGCAGAGCACCAGAAGTTGGAAGTGGCCAGCAAGGACTCACCCCTAGACCCCTTAGGGCAGCATGGCCCTGCTGATGCTCTGCCTTCAGACTCTAGCCTCCAAACTTGGGAGAGAATAGGCTTCTTTAGCTTGAAGTCACCAGTTTGTAGTACTTTGTTACAACAGCCCTGGCCGACTAATACACCCACCAAAATACAGATTTTAACTTTGTTTAAAAAAACAAAAGCAAATGCAGTAGCAAAGATGGCAGCAAAGGAGTGATTTCTTTCATCTCCTCCATTTCTAAACACAGAGCAATTAGGGTAGGACTGCCAAACCTCACGGACAACACTTAGAACAAAACTGAATAGCAGGCTGTGTGTATGCCTAGATAGCACACTGTGAGGAGGGAGAGACAAGCAATCCCCTCCCAAAAACCTGTACGATACCGATAAGTGTGAGAGGAGCAAGTGGGCACAGCAAAGGGACTGCAAACCCCTCATAAAAATACCAACAGGAGTTCACCCCAAAGGGAGGGGCCCCCTGCTTTCAGAGGGTGCCGCCTGGCAGGCCATGGGGCCCGGGGTCGGGTCAGGGAGTGTGGGGGTAGCCGAGCCCTGGGCTCAGCCAAATGACCTGAGGCCCCTTCGGGAAGGGGCCTTGGCTCCCACATCAGGAAGGGAGCCCTGGAGCGGCGTCCACACTGCCCCACCCGAGCACAAGCACTGCCTGATGCGACAGGGGACCTCCTAGCCCATATAAGGCTTCCTCATTCCCAGCAAAACTGTGTGTTTGGGAAACTCATTTGACAAAAAAATAATCTAGCTGGCTTTACTATTCTGAAAGTGGCTTCAGGAAATTAAAAGAGGAAAGCTTGAATTTTATCCCCCTGAACCATGGTTTTAAGACTGAATTTGGCCCCTGGAAAAAAAAAATCCAATTTCAAACTTGATGCAAACATGTGATCTTGTTCTTTTAGGGTCTGAGAAGCCAGGGGTGGGGGGTCAGGCCACCGTGGAAATGACCGAGCTGTGGGGTGGTGAAGACAAGTGCGCCCGGCAGTACTTGAACTGTGACTAGGAAAGCCACTATGCAATTATTCAATCCCTCCTTGGCCAGAACAGATGTTTTCTGTTTTGAAAGTGTATAAAACAAATCATCACTCCCTGTAAACGGCCTCAGGCCCAAATTCAGTTGGCACATTCCACAACTGAACCCAAACCCCCCATGATGGTGGAGGGGGCCACGCCAGCAGGGCCACCCCGCGGGTCACTGGCCAGGCTGTGTGCTGAACAAGAGTCCCGGGGCTGAGCTGGAGCAAACTCTATCCCCTGGGTAGGAAAAGGGGGTGTCTTTGGTACACACAAAGCCCTTGACTGCTAGCCAAGCCCAGCATGGCGACCATCCTAGCAGAAAGGCAGAGGGGGCTAACCTCCAGCCAGGTTGCAAATTGAAGAAAACACATTACAAAAGAGATCCAATTTAGTCTTCTTGTATTTCTATACTGTGGGCTTATTTCTCAATTCAGTAAAAATACCCTAGGTCTGAATGACCTTTCCGGCGGTCGCCGCCGCCTAGATCCTGTGGCCATCAAGTGTCCTGGCCTTGCCAGGGACACAGGGATCAGGCCATTTTGTCCACTGTTCACCTCATGTCATATTCACCTTCCTCCAGACCTGGGGGCTCCCTTGTCAGCCAAGCTGCTCCCAGCCTTTGGAGAAGACTCCAGAAAGCAGAGCTGGAGCTGAAACACCTACCTAGGATCTCTTTTCCAGAGCCAAGTTCTTAAAATGAAAACTGGAAGTCAAAGAAATGAGTTCCAATAGACTTAACGAGGTGGCCTCCTTGGTCCTCTTGATCTCAAGTGCTCAATAAATGTTTTGTGGGTCAAATGAAAAATTCATTTGGCTAAATTAATCATCCTATTTTTGTATCTTGTTGGAACACCCAGACCAGTAGTTTCCATAATCCTAGCTGTGCATTATAACCACCTGGGGAATTATAAAACTTCTGATGCCACATCCTACACCGATTATAGAAAACTTTGAGGGTGGGACCCAGGCATCACACTTTTAAAGCTCCCTGGGAAATTCCAATGTGCAGCCATATTTGACAACCACTGATCTAAATCACTAGATACAAAAAAGAAAACCAAACTCCCCACTATCTCCAAACTAACCACACTCAAGTCACCAAAAGGTTCTATCAGATAGAAATAGATCCTCAACAAGAACAGGGGGCCTGAAAAAAGTCCAAACTCCCTGCTAGCTATAGCCATAGGTTATAGCTAGAGCCAATGCTCTGCAATTAATTATCCAATTTCAACCTCTATGCCTGTCTAGTAAGGAACATGTAACATGACCAAACAAAATGTACTTGCTGTAACAGAGTTACTCAACTTGGGTTGAAAATATGATGTGAAGGATTACCCAAATTTGGGAATACAAGACAGCAATGCCATAAATGCCTACAAATCAGAAAATGTGAAAACAGATTCAATGATAAAAGAAATATAAGCACACCAGACTCAAGTCGACATGGTAATCCAAACTAGGCTAATAAAAATGTTGTTTGGCACAAGTTCTTAGAAAACTCTGTTCAAGCAAGAATGATGTGTAACTAGCGAAGCACTCAGACAGAGCCTTCCACAGTGCTCAGCAACGCAGCGACCTGTCCCAGGCAAAATGTGTCCTTTGTCCAACGGGCAACTCAATGTCCTCATTTCCAGACCACTGCCTACTTTGTGTGTGTTTATTCAACAAGAACTTAAGAGGAATCAACTTGGAGGTCTGGTCCAAATTAAATACACCACTATCAAAAGAAGGCCAGGGAAGGGAAGGTTTCATCTCCCTGCCTCATTTTGTCCCAGAGACCCATTTATAGGCCTCTCTCGGGAGAATGAACCTCACTACTCCTACCCTGGCTGAATCCCAAATCTGTATATCCAGCTGGAACCTTCTTCCCGCCTGAATGCTCACCACACTGTCCTGATCTGGAATCAAAACCCAGCTCAGACTTCCCTACTCCTTCCCACCAATGGTTAATAACCCTGCCACTTAAGATTGCCTGAACCCCAAGCTTCTCCCCCGAGTCCCCCACCAGAGCCTCTCTGCACCACTCAAATTCACTGGTCAGGACAGCCCTCACTTACACACGTCATTTCTTCAAATGTTAAAAAAGGAGACAACCCTTCACAGGGTCCCTATAAGGAGCCTGTACCGATGTTCGATCCCTCAAAATCAGGCACTGCCATTTAATCATTGATCCATAAGGTGGGCAGGCCTGTGGACATAAGTTAAGTACATCAGCCATGTACTTACATCAGCCAAGCTTACTAGCCCAAATAGAAGAGAGTCCTGCCAATGAAATCCTACGACACTTGGTGCCCTGGCAAAAAGGCAGGGAAATAAGCTCTGGTTAGAGCTCCACTTCTTCAGCTTTAAGAGGCTAAGATGCGGTAACCTCCTTAACTAAGTGAATTCCATTAGAGAGGCTGGCCTCAGAAAATAAGCAATTCTCA